TTTGGAAGATGAGGAAGCAGGGGACTCAACCTTTCCTTGCTGATATGTCATCAAAGCCATTTCAAAGGCTTTTGGTTATTTCCCCATTGACCAGACGGAACAATTTCTTACCCCAAAAGTCAATTTGAAGCAATTGTGGATAGAGAGGCTCCAGGAACCTCAACTACAGGATTAGGAGACAATATAGAGATTTGCGGCTTCAGGTTATGCACCTATGAATTGAAATGATCAAGTACCATGTGATGTAAAAGAATTTTTCTACCTGATAATCAAGAGAGCATTCCAAATGGATAATGCTAGGATTGGCATAAGAGTTATGCATGTTTGTTCAGATATATCATATTGAAAAGAGGACACATCTTCTTTGGATACAGAAGGCTTCAGTTTCAGTTCCCTGCCCCTTTCACTGAAAAACCTCAAGTAAGAGTAGTGGGAAAGTCCCCTTGTTGACCTCTGAGAGCTCCTGTTGGTCAGATTGGATAATATAGGGCCAAGTAGGCAAATAAATTCACCTGAATAGGAAAGTATAGGGAAGTAATTCTAAAATCAGGGAGGAAGTAGATGAGAATCTCAGCAAGAAGATGTATGAGGTTTTTATAAGCAGCCACTCATAGCTGGTTACATTTGTCTTATGTCAATATTTTTGCTCTCAAACAATATACAACCCCTTTACCTGAAATCTCTCATCTTGGCAGGGTGCTATTACAAAACATTAGTTAATTGCATGTTTCTACTGTACATTTGAATTGCAGTATCATATTAAATTGTCAAGCTAAATTACTATTGTATGTTTAGTTTATGCCAAAGATTATTTAGTTCAGTACCTAAATTTGCCAATCTGAATTTGATGAAACATGACAGGGTACTAATTAGAGTAAAACTGAGAAAATCTTTTTTTTTTCTTTTTTCTAGGAAGCAGCAGTGTCAGGTAGCTACAGTGACCCATGCTATCTGTATATGTATTTAGACACACATAGATAGGGATTAGTATCACTGTTCCCTTATTCACATTTTTGTTTACATTCATGAATCTCCTGTACTTTTAAATAGGTAGCAAAGAAGTGAGAAGGGTAGGCTTCAGACACTCATTGAACTCCCACAGCGTAGAGTTTATAGTATTGCGATGCTGAAAAATTATTTCTATTTATTGCCATTCTTGCAGTCCTTGGGGTTTTAATTTTTCAAAAGAGAAAAACATCAAAGCATTCTTTTAAATAGATGGAGTATTCAGTTCTTGTAATAACTTCATTACAAGGGGGCTGAAGGGTGCTTGAGGGTGTCTTATACAGGTAGTCCTTGACTTACAACCATTTGTTTAATGACCATTTGAAGTTAAGATGGCCCTGAAAAAAGTGACTTATGACCGGTTCTCACACTTACAATTGTTGCAGCGTTCCCGCAGTCGCATGATCAAAATTCGAGCACTTGGCAACCAGCATGTATTTGCGACAGGCAGTATCCCAGGGTCATGTGATCACCATTTGCAACCTTCCTAGGGGGCATCTGACAAACAAAGTCAATGGGGGAACCCAGATTTGCTTAATGACCATGTGATTTGCTTAATGATTGTGGCAAAAAAGCTAGTAAAATCAGGTGTGACTCACTTGACAACCACATCACTTAGCAACAGGAGTTCCGGTCCCAATTGTGGCCATAAGTTGAGGACTACCTGTATTTTATCATACAATCATCTCTGCAGAATCTGAAACTTCCTTGCCTTCCCATACTTCAGTTCAATCCTTCCTCCATCAAGAAATCAGGAGAGCCAAGGTGACTTGCAAGGTATGGAAGTCTTATCAGAAATGAGTACCAGCAGAAGCAACCATCTCAGAAGAAGAAGAAGAGGAAGGAGAAGAAGATCCAGTGCTGTTCTAAAGCATACTAAGAATGAGGTAGAAAAAAACAAAGTCCCTTTTCAGAAACTTGGGAAATTGAGATGAGATTTCAGTACAGTATTTTTTTAGAAGTTTGGCAATATCAGTGGCCCTTAGTTTTTATAAGAGCTAGAAATGGGCCCTCCATTTTCAGATGCAGTTTGTGTTTGATCATCGGTTCCAGGAGGTAGTTATCTGAATCTTGTTCTTGTAAACTAAACAGCAGTATCTGGCCAGGGAATGCTGGGACAGAGGGATCTTAGCTTAAACCTTTTGTCCTACCCTTAACTTTCCCTCTCTAGTGCTTCCTGTGAGTACTATTTTTCCAAATAACTCAGTTCTTGTAGTATAGCATAAGACTGTCAAAAAGGGAGGAAGGATAAAGTTTCAAAACTTCCAGCCTGTAGCCTTAATATTTTAAACTTACTTTCCACTATCTCCTTTAGATACAAATCTGGTGAAAAATTGTGCAATTCCCCCTCCCCTCCCTATCCCCTGGGTTAAACCGTAGATATGCAGAAGTTTACCTAAGTTCAGGTATAACATAATCTAAACTTATGAGATGGAAAGTATTCCCATTTCATTATTATCATCTTCAATGTAAACCCAACATTTCCCGCTATATATATTTTTTTTCCCTCTAGAATTATTCAAGGGAGTTGAATTCTGAATCCTACATCACATTCATGACAGAAAAACACACAGTTTTGGCAAAGTTTTTGATATGAAACAAAGAGACTTTATCTACCATTGCAAAGTTTAAAATAACAACTGAATGGGAACAGCGGGGTGGCAGTACGTCAAAACAACTCAAAAACTGGTCTGTCAGCAACTGAGAAGCATTGCGTTTAAAAGGCACATTTTTAATTGTCTTTATATTTAAAAAAAAGAGAGAAAGAGAGAAGAACCTTCTAACTTAAAAAGCATATTAATAGTGTGTGTTTATTTATATGAAAGTCCTAATGTATTTTATGGAACTTACTGTCTGGAAAGTATGCATAGCCTGTATTTGCTATTACCTTCCAAAACTAGCATGCTGAATTTAACACTGAGAATTGGAATTCTCTGCTTTTGTTACCCTTCTTATCATAGTTTAACTTTCTGTATGGGAGACATTATGGAATATTTTTTACCCAAAAAAATAAAAATAAAAATTCATGTTTTCTCTGATGCCTGTGCATGATTAAAGGTATTTTTAGGGTTTTCCCACCCTCCACCCTTTCCTCCATCCATATCCGTATCCATATCCATATCCATCTATAGGCATAGATAAAAATCACAATATAAATAGTACTTCAAAAATCTAGTAAATTATCCACAGAACCATTTGATGGCACCTTCAGAGACAAATTCCTTTACTTTACTAAGAACAGAAACTGCTTCTTCTAAGTTCTTGCTGTAGCTATTAGGTAACATTCCTCCACCATCAGATAAAATGGAATTTTTGCACAGTGCTTATCTCAGGCATTTTTTATGTCTTAGTTGTTCTTTTTTTTTTTTTTTAGGTTGTCAGGAAAAAGAATCGGTCTGGCTCTGCCAAGTAGCAGAATAGAGGTCTTTGCTTCAGATGATACAATGAAGGTAGAACGGGATGAAGCTAGAAATGACACAGCAGAGATCCCCAATGTGGACCTCGGCCGCTGCCAGGATCCTTGGAAAAATGGCATTTCTGCTGGAATATGGAATCCATTCCTGCATATAATTGCCCTGAGAAGCCAGCTTTCTCTTTTGGCTTTTTTTTTTCTTTTTGTCCAACTCTCCTAGCTTTGAATGGAATTATTTTCTGTGTTGCGCTCTCTCTCTCTTAATCTCTGTCTTGGCATGCCCAGTGTGCTGTAAAACCTCCTGAAGGATAATGAAGAAATGGGCAGACCACTTAGGTGTACTATCCATCCCCGATTCATTTTCAGTTAATTAATATTGTCTTTCCCAAGAGGGGGAGAAATCTTCACTCTTCTGCAAATGAAAGGCAGAAGAAGAGAGGCTCTAATGATAAAAAAATGCTGTGGGAAGTGAGGTAATTTTTTAGATTATGTGTCTGGCCCACTGATAGAAATCCAACCTTGAGTCGCTTTTTCTGCTGCAAGAACTAAGAATCTTTGGAGAGGAGGTGCAGGATTGGGAACTACAGAGACGAGAATGGATGGGAGACACAGAAGAACCCCTAACTCCTGTATTTTGCTGCCTAAAACAGCTAAAATTGTTTGTTCTAATGAAGGGCCAGCTGTGATGGAAATTAAAAACCATTCATAGTATCCTTTGTGGAAATGCCCATAGATTTTGTTCATAAGCACATTAAGATCCTTCATCAAATTCAATTTAGAGTTGTGACAAATGTTAAAAAGAAATGGTGAGTAAGTGGAGACCAATTAGGGGAAAGTGTCCTGAAATATTTTCCTTCCTTCCTTCCTTCCTTCCTTCCTTTCTTCCTTCCTTTTCCTTCCTTCTTTCCTAGAATAAAGCAACAATTTAAAATGGATAAGCTGCTGCTGCTTCTCCTCCTCCTCCTCTATGAAAAGGTTGCATCAAAGGCAAGGAGTCTGGCTGTTCCTTCCCACCTTCCTCATGAAGATGTCATGTTAAAGTCAAATCAGAGTGAGGGCAGGATCAATAAATAACATACCTTCTCCTTCTATCGTGTTCTGAAAATGAAGAAAAAAGAAAAAGAGATGCCAGGTGTTCAAGCTAGCTTTAGAAAAGGCCAAGGAATATGAGACATTATTGCTGATGTATGCTGGATCATTGAGAATGCCAAAGAATACCAAAAAGAAGTCAGTATATGTTTCATTGATTATAGAAAGGCCTTTGATTGTGACAATTATGTCAAGCAGTGAAATGTGCTCAGAAAAATGGGAATCCCAGAATATCTCATTGTCCTCATGAGAAACTTATATACAGGTCAGGAAGCCACAGTACGGACAGAACATGATGAAACAGACTGGCTCCAGGTTGGCAAAGGAGTGCGACAAGGCTGCATACTCTCCCCTTATTTATTCAACCTGCATGCTAAATATATATATTAAGGACAACTGGATTGGAAGAAGTTGAGTATGGTTTTAAAACTGGAAGAAGAAACATTAATAACCTGTACTATGCTGATGACACTACCCTGATGCTGAAAATGCAAAGGGAACTGCAATCTCTAGTAATAAAAGTTAAGGAGCAAGGTGAAAAAATGGGACTAAAATTAAATATAAAGAAGACCAAACTAATGATAACAGGTAGAACAACCAGCCTTAGAATGGGCTATGAAGATATTGAAGTAATGGATAGCTTTTGCCTTTTAGGATCAACCATCAACAGTAAAGGAACAAGCAGTCAAGAAATATGCTTGCAGACTAGCACTCACTAGAGCAGCCATGAAGGCCTTGGAAAAGATATTAAAATGCTGTGATGTGTCTCTACCTACACAGATCAGAATCATGCAAACCATGATATTCCCTGTGACACTCTATGGAAGTGAAAGTTGAACTTTGAAGAAGCAGGATAGGAAAAGTATTGAAACCTTTGAATTCTGGCATTGGAGAAGACTTCTCAGAATACCATGGACAGCCAAGAAAACAAACCGATGTCTCATCAAAGAAATCAACCCAGAGTTCTCGCTCGAGGCACAAATGACCAGGCTGAAATGATCCTACTTCAGACACATTATGCAAAGACCCAGCTCTCTGGAAAAGTCTGTAATGCTGGTAAAGGTGGAAGGAAAGAGAAGAAGAGGACAACCAGCAGCAAGGTGAATGGACCCAGTTACAATGGCAATGGGTGCAATGTTGGAAGACCTGAAAGACCAGGTTAGGGACAGATCATCATGAAGAAAATGTATCTGTGTGGTTGCTAGGAGTTGGAAACAATTTGTTGGCACATAATCAATCAATCAATCAATCATCCCTCTATATTAGAAGTTAGGTTTGTTCTATTTATTTCAGTGGGGTGATTTTGCCTGCTTCTCTGTCACACCCAGTAGCATCTACAGCAAATCATGATGATGCCAGCATGACAACACACAGGTGGTGACATTATCCCATGAATGCTGCCCTGTGTGACTGAAACATCGGATGCAACTCTAGAAGGGAGACAATGGCATTGTCCATACTTCACCATTTGAACCTCCACCCTTCAGGGGATCGCCACACTTTACCTGTTGATGGAGTTTGCTTGAACTGCAAGAAACGTATATTCAGAGTAGCCAAGATAGATTTGGTATCCACTAGTGTTTGATTACCAGCATCTGTGGCATTGGCTGACAGAACAGCACACATGCTGCAATACTTGATGCCAGCTGCCTTCAGATCTGCACAAGATAATGCACTGCCCTGGTAAGAAAAGTGGGAAATATGAGAACCGCAGGACTAACAGCATTGAAACCTCAGCTTTCATTTAATGTAAACATTCCTAACAATACTTTGAAGCAACCTCTGTGGATTCCTGAGACCAAAACGTACAGAATAGTCCCCAAACAATAAAGGTATCCAACATCTAATGAGAAAATAAAAACAATGGCACTTCAGAACAAAAAAACAGGTTCCTAGATTTCAGAATGGCAGATGTTCCTCGAAAGGACCGTCTGATTTGAAGCAGAAACCCAAGAAGTAGACAGAAAAGAGCTAAGAGGATACTTTCTTCAGCTCTATTATCCCACCAGTAAATGAAAGTGGGATTCAGGAAAATGAACTTCCTGTGGGGAAGCTTCAATTCAGGGTGCCCCGCTGAGGATTGTATTGAAATTGAAGCTTCATAAAGGCAGATTTTTCCTTTGAAAATGTGCAGAGTTTTAAGAGGTATGCTACATGGGATAGGCAACAAGATAGCCTATGCTTTCCTTTGGCACACCCATAGCCTTCTCTGACCATCTTTGTCAATAATCACCAGCCCGGTTTCCTAATATTGTGAGGTGGGAAGTATGAACAAACCAACATTATATCACAATCCAAGACCAGATCATAAAAATAACCAAATGCAAATAAACAAACATATAGATATGGACTGAAATAGGCTTAAAAGAGTGTGTGAGTGAGAGAGAGAGAGAGAGAGAGAGCGAGTGTGCTCATAAAACACACCCCAACCAAAGCAAGGGAGGGAGAGGAACACAACATTCTTGTTTCATCTACACTGGTAATACAGCCAAGAAAATTTTGCATTATTGCCCCATCCATTGATGCTCCCTCTGACACCAAAAAATTAAGTGTCTCTTCTAGCCACTAAAAACACAATTATACCTTCAGTAAGTGAAGTTTTGGAAAATTCTGGATGAATTCCCATTCCCGCTGGAGGTATTCAAGATTCCCAACGAAGACAATGTCCTTCAGCTCACTGAATGCAAAGTTGCTAGCTCGCAGCGGCATCACAAAGTTGCGTAGTCCAATCATGGTTGAGGTGGCATCTCCAAAAACACAGACTACAATATGATCACGCAATTCACCAAATAACTTCCTTTTGGATTTCTAAAGAAGATAAAGCAAGTGTCCATAGAACTGAATTAGGCAAAGTTTCAATAGAACAGAAAATATTGGAAAATTTAGATTATTTACAGTCTTTTACAGAGAATGCATAGAGTGTAACTCACAGCCCTTTCACAAGCCTCAGATTTTTGTTAAACTTTCAACAAGGTGATATATTCATCACTAGTGCAGTTCCAGATTTGGAGGGATCTGTCAGCAAGCTATCTTCCATTCAACATAATTGCTGTTTCTTCCCATTTACTTTTCCCTCTGAGGCCCAATGGGCATCAGAAAGAAAGAAAGAAAGAAAGAAAGAAAGAAAGAAAGAAAGAAAGAAAGAAAGAAAGAAAGAAAGAAAGAAAGAAAGAAAGAAAAGAGGAAGCAAGCAAGCAAGCAAAGCAAGGCTAAGATTATGATCCATCCATCCATCCAATTTGTCACCACCCATCTCGGTTGCAAAGTGACCCTGGGTGGTTTACAGAGGTTTACAGAGTTTCTACTGGTTTCTCTGCTGCTCACTTGGAAAAGCAATGACATCAAGGAAAAGCTAAAGCATGAACTTCAGAGAGCAGTAGAAACCTGCATAGCTGGAGATACAGACCTGATACCAGCCAGGTTTAAGACAAACAATGGTAAAGAAAGGAAAATGTTTCAATCCTAACAAATCTAAACACCCTAAATAGCTGAAGCAGGAAATCTAGGTCCTGTGCTCAGTTCCTTTTGAATGTGCTCAGACATTCTGAATTGTATTTATGAGATGTAGCTTAAGAATGCTATATCTACCATTGTTCTGTTCCTATTCTCATAGTCTTCCTGGTATTGAGAGTAGACATCTGAAATTGGGAAGGTCTTTAATTGATGGAGGTTTTATGTATGAAGTAGAATCTCCCACCTCTTACAAGCCTAACAGATTGGCAGTTTACCCATCAAGTGATATGTCACTTGTGACTCATCTTGTTGAATGAGAACTTAGCCAAATACTTAACATGAGGAATTTATTGAACCTGAGATCACCATTCCAATTAAAAACAAAAAAACACACAATCCAGTATAGGCTATGGATTAGTTCTTACCAGCCAACAGATTTATCATTTATAGCATACTCTTTGCAAAGCAAAAGAATACAGCACAACCTATTAGAAAAATCACAACTATCCTTTGGTCCACTATAAGAAGATTTATATCTGTTCTGTCTGTTACAGTCTTTTGTTATAGATTTCTGGGAACCTAATAATGCCATGTTGTGTCAGAGAACACAGTGGTGATTTGTCATACTGGGTATATGACATGACAAGGTGACTGTTCTTAGGTGTGACTGAAGAAATCTTTACATGATTGGAACATGGTTGGTGTCCACATTCCCCATCAAGAGCTGTCAAGCAAACCGTTTCTCCACAATGGGTTTTTCTTTGAAGGAAAATAAAAGATTCATGTCAGGGAACTTTGCTGATGAGTGATTAGAATCCTTGCCAAATTAAATGATCATCTCTAACTAATTGGATTAGTTTAAATGGAATAATGAAATTTCAAGCTGTATTTAGTGGAACGTGCCTTAAATCCAATTATTAGTCTGTCAAGTGATGCTAAACAATGGAAATGATTCATTCTATAACCTTTTAATAGATGCTGGGGGTACAGAAGGAGGCTAGCCTGATTGGGACACAAGACAAAAAGATGAATTTACTATATTGAAGGCAAAGAATAATGTGCATATTAAGTGTGATAGGAGAGGTTTGAACATAAATATCTTATCCCAAACTAAACATGCTTCAAATTTCTTCTCAGAGTTTGGCACTCCAATGAATAATGTAAATAATACTGTAACTGAATTTTTCTATATTATTGTGTTCATTGTTAAGGTTTGCAATCAGCCAAATGAGTATGGTGATCAATACTTTTGCCAACACCAATGCTAGAAGTTATGTACTGTCTTAAGGGCCAACAAATTAACACATACGTTTTGTGTACCATTACTCAGTGGCCCAAAGCTTTTTGCTATCTGTTGCAAAAGAAAAGTTGGTGCCCACTCTGGCATAAACTATCTAGAATGATCTTACTTCAACACTGGTGAATGTGTAACTGCACCTGTAGACAGCAGACTATCTTACAAGCTGCAGGCTTCTGTCTAATGATAGAGATGGCACCACATTGCTTCTAAGTTCTGATATTTATGCAAAATACATTGAATGTAGAAGATAGGATTTGTAAGCAGCTGTGTTCATCTACCTGCTACAAGTACTAACACAACTTCAGAACTCTTCATTTTCTTCTTGAAGGAGGCAGAACAAATGAAACTGGGGAGGTTTACAATAAATAGCTCATTTTTTAAAATGTAGTTAAAAATAATATGGAAATGGCACAGAAGAAACTAATAAGCAAATACAAGCAAAAATGGCATAATGTAGAAATAGGTTGGTTAACGTTACCCTGCTGTGTTAAAAAAAAAAAAAAAAAGTAAACTAATGCCCTCAATAAATCTAGCTTTTCATCTATTTATTGCACCTACCAAGAGGGCCTTTTCAAAAGTCACAGCTTCACACCAGTGAAACATCCCTGTAGCATCCAGTGAGATATGACTGGCTCCTTCTTCTTCTTCTTCTTCTGCATGTCTAGGTGGACAAAATGATAGATTGTCATGTGATGACTAGCATGGGGCCATCTAGGTCCTTTGCTGTTAAAAATAACAGAAGTTCAAACTTTCTTTACCAAAGCAGGCTTACAGTGTAGAACTGGACATGAAGAAAACCACAGAGGAAGGACGGCATACAGACAGAAGAAAACAGAACATAGTCAGAAGATAGAAAAAGGAGAGTGAGATTCTTAGGTATCATTTATGAATCAACTTGTTGAATGAGATTGTCTAGTCAAGACAATTTCTGTGCTTCTCCAGTATACCTTAATATAACAATATGTCTTAGTTTACTGTTGAATGGACAGTGCCAAGATTACATTTTAAAAAGGATCAAATATAATGCATGGATTAATACATTTTACCCAGCTGGAAATGATGTTATTTAACATTTATATTATGTTCTTTGGAAAACAGGACAAAACCCCAAACCAATAGAAAATCACAACAATCTTTAGATTCATTATAAAACATTTCTTTCTTTTTGACGTGGTGTCATTTGTAGCCTTTCTTTATTATTTCTGGGCAATAAAGACAATAACACATGGTGTCAGAGTACATAGCATTCATTTCTCATATTGTGCATATGACTTGAGAAGGTGACTGTCTTAGGTAAGACTGAGGACATCATTGGCAATGAGGGTATGTAATCAAAAGCTATCAAGCAAGTACAGACCGAAAACCATCTCTCCACAATGGGTTTTTCTTTGAAGGAAAATGAAAGATTCATGTCAGGCAACTTAGTTGATCAATGAGAAGAATCCTTGCCAAATTAAATGATCATCTCTAAGTAAATGGCTAGGTTGCGATACGACTGATTATGATATGGTCCTATACATTTTCCAGGAAGCCGTGTCCGGAAAAGCTCTGTGCTGCTATGAGATTGTTGGGACTTTTCCAATTAAAAGAAAGAAAAAAGCACATTTCCCTTGCCATCCTGTACACTTTCAAAAAGTGAATCAGGTTTTTTTTTGAGGAACTATAAATCTCTTCAGACTTTCTAATTGCTAGCTTCAGTCTTGCGATAGGTCGGCTAAAAGGGGGGAAAACAAAGCAAATCCGTAATTCCCACCCAACAAGATCCTTGGCAGAATTCTTTTACATCCCTTCTTACTTCCATCAAATTTCATTTCTAGGGCAGTGCATGAACATCTACAGAATACCTTATTGCCAAAGATGATTTCCAGGATTTATAAATACACGTGCATCACAAAATCAGCACAAGTTACACCTGCCACAGATGGCTGATATTTTAGTAAGCCAGAAATGAGTGACAGCTCCCTTCTCACCAAATAATATCCCAGCCTCTAGTAAATAAGTGTCAAAAAGAGTGTCAGGATTCAAGTCTAAGCAGCAGGAAGGAAAATAGTCTAGGGCCATATTCTTTGCCATTCAGTGCAGGCTTCTTTAAAGGGAATAGCTGGTATTAGTAGATAATGTGGGGGAAGAAATTAGTCTGTGTATCTCAGTACACTTATGCCAAGAATAGACATTTTTGTCCATTAGTCATATGGCACCTCCCCAGCATTTGCAACCTCCTCCTTTCTGCCCAGATGATGGATTGGTCAGCTGTTGATTAAATTGTGTTTTGGCAAGAGGGAAGCTATCTTGTTACAAGCTCTTTTTAACTCAGCCCAGCTCAGCAAATCAATCAGTGCACTCTTTTCCATCATCATAAAACCATGATCTATGTACACAAGCTGTCACAGATGATATCTCCCTTCACTCAAATGTTATAGGAAGCATCTATGCCCTGGAGGGAACACCTGTCAGAGCCCTGGGTTAAGAAATAAAAAGGCAAGGCTGCTTGAAACACACTTCATCATAAAGGCATCTTTCTTCAGATATCATTGTGAAAGTGAACTGGGGGGGGGTGCTCATCTATCTCTAGGTGCCTTAACTACTCTTCCCATCTGCCATATTTTCCACAAGCAATATGAGCTTGTCAAGAACCTACTGCCCTAGGAAGGTCAATGAACAATTCTAATGAATAGAATTGCTTCTGTGATGGGAGATTTTGGGGAATATGAAATGGGAAGGAGAGCAAAACAGACATATCAAGACAAGGATCCAGTCTTCCAAGGAAGTTTCACAACTCTGGCCACAATTTTGCTCAAACCTGCTGAGCAAGCTAAAGGTTGAGATCCACTGTAAAATCTAGCTTTCAGACTTGAAATTTGGAAAAGGGCCTTCTATCAATCAGCAATGGTGTCTTTCTAAAATATGCCATCTTTGAAAGGTCCCACCTTTTCTTGACTACTATCAACATTTTCCCCTCTCTTTTTCCCAACGCAGTCTCCATGATTGCCTAAAGGACAAAGGCAAGATAAGTAGAGGATTCTGTTCCCTTTTTATTATTATTTACAGATAAGTAGCAATAGCTAAGATGTTCTAGGAGATGTCACAGGGCTGCTTTGTTAGGGTTAATGTACCTTGGATACTAAGCACATTACAGATCAGACAATTTATTTTGCTAGGCTGATATTGTCTGTTTTCTAGGGTCTAAGCTGAGAATGGATGACCAGCTCTTCAAACCCAGTGGATGAACCTATTTGATATACTTATTTAGAATGAAAGTTGGATCCCATCTCAAGAGCTCAAGAGGGAAGAATGCAGGGTTAAATTCTTCTACAAAAATTAGTAGATAGCTTAAAAAAAAAAAAAGATCAAATATTGCTCTGTCTCCCCATCCTACTTTAATTAGGTCTATTCGAATTTTTATAGCAGGAATGACCAACCCTTTTGCCACTGAGAACTGCTATTTGCCCCACTTTCAAGCAGATTCTCACTATTGAGGTAGAAAATGGTACAACCTACTTCATTCCAGCAAGAAGAGATCCCAGCCTGACTCTTTTCAGCCTACTGAAGGTCTCTTCAATAGCTGGGAGGAACCTGAAGTACTTTGAGGTGGGATTTCTGTGGGGTAAGTTAAAACTCTCCTGTACAACAGGATTGTTGAAGAGAGAATGTGATCAAGAGTAGTAATCAGCAGTAATGCTGGATCTTTGTCCCACCCTCCAGGTGAAGCTGGCAAAAGAGGTCAGATTTTTTCAGGCCTATCCAGACTATAGAGAGTGACCTAAAGTTGCTTGTTGTAAGCAAGCTGTGAACTGTTTGCATCTATCCTATAGAAAACCCATTGTATGCACAATACTGGCTTTTAATGTGATTCCCTCCCCACTTTGAGGCCCTTTGTAATTTATCTGTGCAAAGAATCCACCAGGAAGGTTAAAATGAGAAAAATGACAGTACTAAGGACCTTCACAGCTGAAGAGAGCTTTGAATTTGGGTCTCCCTAACTCATTTAACTGCTATGTCATATTGGTTTTCATTTCACCATACTAGCAAGCCTTGGCATGAAATGCATAAATACTTCTTTAACAAAGGCTGTAAAGTATTCCCATGTCACTTTAATGCTATGTTTATGGGAAACTGTCACCTCTTCCTCCATCCCCACTCTTCATTACCCTGAATTAATACCACTCGATTTATAATAATGAAGGGTTTTGCTTGCTGTCAACTGAAATTTTATAAATTAAGACACATGCAGAGCTTCGGTTTGTGATTTTCTTAAAAAAAAAAAAAAAGATTTATAGCATTTCAACTGCTAATCAGCAAAAAGCCCTTGCACACAGGTAAATCCAATAATCAAATAAGGAGCAATATTTCAGCAATAATTAATCTATCGAATGAACTTAAGTATCAAGAGCTTCCTGTAAGTGTCCTCTCTTTAACAATGCAATCCCCTGGGTTACCCTCATTTCAACTAAAACTCCTTTCCTTGGACTTCTTCAAACAGTAGAATTAGGACATCTTTCTGAGGGATGCAGAGATACATAATAGCAGAAATAAGATGACATCCTCCTCATACAACTTTCAGTTGCAGATTAGCGATAGACTAAGCCCCAAAAACCTAGCCTAAAACAAATTCTAACTCAAGATATTTTATAGCACTTCAAGAATGAGGAAAACAAACAGACTTTTAAAAGAGAAGGCAGGTTTAAGGAACTGGAAAAGACGTGGTACAATAACATGAAACGTGAAACCAGAATATTACTGATCAGAACATCTTCTAGAGGGCAGACCATAAATCTGTAGTAATCTCTTATTCTAAAAAGAAGGATGATCCACAAATAAAGTACTGTAACATTATTCTAACATTTATTGCTCAGAGAAAAGAGGATGTTTAGGATGTTTAACAACATCCCTGTAGTCCCTGGACATTGTGAAGCCACAGCTCTCATCATCCCGGACTTGCTGATCAGGGCTGATTGGAACTAAAATCCAACAAGAAATGAAATGCCACAGCTTCTCTACTTCTGGTGTCACCACCCAACACAGTGACTCCAACATGCATTCCCAACAAAAATAATTATTCTTTGTAACTGTGGGTACACAGATACATGTCAAATTCTAACCCAAATTTACTATGGTGATTTCAGATTTTCCCCAGCCTTTGGGCTAGACCTCACATTTGTCCTCATTTAGAGGGAGGGACAAAAATAAATGACATGAGAAAACTAGTAGTGCAACCATCTCTCTTTCTCTCCCCTCCCCCCCCCAAAAAAATCTCCAGCCTTCCATAGCTTATATGGTCTGGAAGCACTGCTGTTTCTAAACATTTTAGATCAGCCTTTGTAGCAGGCAAAAGCCAATCAAGTGGATTCTAACCCATTTCCTGGGATGAAAACTCAAAGCACACTTACCGTCTAACTTGGCATCTGCTTTTTTATGTACTACTATTTATTGCCCAACTGAAGTCAAGTGTGTAGGATTCTCCCCTGAAAATGTATGATAAAGTAGGTGCATTGAGAGCTTCAACTGAAGGCTCCAGAGGAGGAAAACAATATCACCATCAACAACAACAAAATTCAATGCCCTTTACAAAGCAGAAAGGGAGATTGTGACAACTGGTAATCACCACTGACAACATTGTCAGCTATGAGACATTCCTGACAACTCTTCATTGTATTTGGCCAC